ACCATGTTGCCTAGCTGGACATCAACTGCTGCAACCCCGGTCTCAACGCTTACTGTCGAAGATCTTCCCGACGCGCCGCCAGATCTCCCCGCCTTCCCCTTCCCTGAGGTGGGCTTGACGACGGACGACCCCGAGTTTACCTGGCTACCACTGCTCACGCCGTACTCCTTTTCCGACGACTTCCAGGAACGATACGGAGGGCTACTCGCGGGCTACCGAGGCGACGACCTGTCGGATCCAGAGGATGACGACGTTTGCGACTTGGATGAGCCTCAGCAGCAAGGATATGCAGAAGGTATGCCTTGGGTCCAGTTCTCGGATGCGTCTGCCTCAGATCTCCTTGAAGATACTCAGATTGTAAGTCAACAGCATGGTCGGCCTCCTACGTCTTACTGACAGCAACTAGTACGAGCAGCCAAGGTTCACCATCAATCCAACGGTGATTGATCCGCGGGTCGGCATGTCTGTGCCAGCGGCGAACATGCAATTTCTGTTGGACATATGCCCCGCACCTCGACCTCTTACTACTTCTCACACTACCTCTTCCCAAATGTTGTCGACGACCAGCAACGCGATCCCGATCCCAAACAACGCACATGCCGGACCTGGCTTCAACATCGATAGGATACCCAATGAAATAGTGCTAGAGATCTTGAGGTATCTTTTGGTATTCCCAGGCCGAGTGGTCTACCCAAGCGAGTCGAACCACCCGACTGGAGAACCCGTACTTCAAGTCGCGACTTCAGGACAACCCATAGACAATGACCTCCGCCTGCCACCCCTACGAGACCTTTTGGCCGTAGCTGCGACGAATCTACGACTCCGCCGCTTCGCTTTCGACGTATTCTTTGGACATAACACCTTTGACCTGACCTGCGGCAACATCCTTTACCGAAATGCTCTTCAACGGAATCCTCTTCGATGGATGAGGAGTGTACCTATACTATTCCAAGAGTCGCTAACGCATGTCGAAATATCCCTCTACTTGTACTTGGGCCCGGTAACCTACCGGGAGAAGAGGAGGATAAATACTGAGAACATGATTAGGGAAATTGGAAAGAGCCACACACTGCGGTCAGTAACAATCAAAGTGCGAGTCCCTTATGGCATACAATCTCTTACGCCTGCCGAAAAGCGACAGAGGTTTCTCCAAATGCCTGAACTCGACCTTCTCAGTCGTCTTCGCGGGGTGGACCACTTGGTAGTACAGGACCCTTTCGCACTTGGAGCGCCCGAGACTGCACGGCTGCAGCAGTGCCTGGCAAAGCCCAAAGGTAGGCGCGGCAGGCACGATCGGCCACATCTCTACCCAGCTCTAGCTCTACGCCCATTGAGCAGCGACACCCTGGTGAGGAGGCCTTGGTCAGAACTAGACTCCGAACTCGAGTCCTACGGTCTGGATCCTGCAGATTCTTCGACCAAGATCTCCAAGGCAAAGAAACTGGAACGTTTGAGGCGGCTCGACTGGAAGAACCCAGATGAACCGGACGTGCCTTGAGTATCCGCTTGGTATCGGGAGCAACTGACCGTGTCGCGCTCTCTCGACGTTCTGATGCAGATAGACGGTATCTTGCAATAGAACCATATGTATGACCTCTTGGCCTTGTGATCTGCCTCAACGTCTTGTCTTTGACTGAGCGTAGATGGCAACTTCTATGCAATCCAATCGTGATATGACAGTGACTGTTGCTAAATGCTGACCAGCAGAGATTCCAGATCTACGGAGACAGTTGCTGTCTCGTTGTAGATTGTGCATCCTCTCAAGTTGAATGGGATGAGCTTCCTGGAGAATGAAGTAAAATGCCGGGCGCCTCAATTTGCCTTGAGCCCGAGATTCTTCTCTCACGTCTTCAAGTGATTGCGTGGCTTTGCAAGCGTTTGAGGCCGGGCTCCATCCGGGCGCTAAAAGTGACCCTTAAGTTGGAGTGGCCGTTTGTTGTTGTGAAAGCTGCCCGCGAAAACTTCAGTCGCAGCTTCTCCGCCAAACTCTCCAATCCTTTCAACATCACCCAAGATATCTCTTCTTCTGGCGTTCGCTCTCCTACCACACATTCGACACCATCCTCGAGTCCAGCTGCAGCGCCTGATCGAGTACCTTGACGGAAAGCAATCTCTCCGCACCTCCTCTCCCGATCGCAGTACGTCTTTGACGCACCTCGACTTCCCCGCCCTCGTCTGCATCACAGAAGATGCCCTCCTCCTCCTCGCTCCCTCCTGCCGCTGCGAAGCAGCTCAGCAGTACCAACGTCGTCGTCGCGAGTACCTCCCCGCCAACGGCCGCAGGCCCAAACCAATCTCGTCGCGGACTTCTGGCTTTGCCCACCGAGATACTCCTCACAATATTCGAATACGTACTGGTGGAGGGGGACAGGCTATCGCCAAGCTTGACAAGGTCTCGGAGGGAGGAGCCTGTATTGCGGGCACACTCCCGCATCCTCTCAACACAGACTGCGCCATCCAAGGCGAGAGTCCTCAAGCCAATGCTCGAGATCTTGAGTATAGGCTTGGTCGCAAAGCGGCTGCCTCCAATCGTGCGAGAGGCCTTCTTTGGAAAGAACCGCTTCGACTTGTCCTTCGGCCAGAAGTGGCTAAGCGGCGTCCATGCAGATCTCCAGACCCTCATCCACGACGTTGAGATATGCGTCTCGACCTTCGGCACGAGCCAGTTCCCGCGGTCAAGCGTTGACTTCTCCCAACATCAATTGAAGATTAGGAGACTACGCGTACTAATCTCTGCCCGCGCGTTCGAGCGGCACGTCTACGTCTACCACCCTAGACAACAAGGAGGACAGACACCTTGGGAGCAAGTTTTTCGCACTGCCCCTGAAGTTCGTGCTCTCAGCAAATTGCGTGGCGTTGGGGAAGTCACGGTCGACTTCAAATATCCTTCTAGGTTGCTGTTCACTCCGCCAGGTCCAGATTGGTTGTTGGCGCAGGCAACCTGGCTCAAGAATACCATGGAGCAGGATTAGGGGTGTGAAGACGCCGGTGTAGATTAGAACAATGCATGAGCTGCAGTCAGGCAATATGTCCTCTTCCTCCATGATAGCCGTATGAATGCAAGATGACGCCTCTGGACAATCAGAGAGCTTCGTCGTGATGCCCCGTGATCCAAGAATCCACAAGTGAACTCCTTTCCCCGAATTGTTACTCGGAAAAGTCTGAGAACGGCCCAGCTCGTGTCTGGAAGCTTCCGCCGAACGGTAGAGGCTCGGAAGCCGCCCTTCTCACCGTCACTTCCTCATTCCTCATCGAGCATTGCCTGGGTGACCGTTGGCTGACCACGCTAGCACGCTCAAAGTCTTGGCGCAAGCTCAAAAGGCACAACAACGCTGTCCCTCTTCCCCTCCTTAGCAACGACACTCTCACATCATCATCACAATGCGTTTTGCTCTCTCCCAGTCAGACGATTTCCTCGCCCGCCACGATCTCGACCGCGCCATGCTCGAGAGCCTCGCCGAGAACGAGGAACGCTTCCTCGCTGACGCCCGTGAGAAAGCGAGAACCGCCCCCCGTATCAACGCGCTTGGTCTCGCCGCGCGCAAAGAGATGGTGGATCGAGAGCTGGCCGAATTCGGTCCTGCCGCGTTCCCCCCTTCTTCCTTCTTCGAGACCACCGGATCTCTGCGTCCTCGCGTGCCGCCGCCCACTGGTCAACAGCCTGCTCCCCCGGCGCCTACGCCGGGTGTGTGGGAGTACTATCAGGCTTGCGTGGTCAATGCGACCAAAACATACTGGTCGTACGGTGCCAAGACTGGTGTAAGTACCAACCCCTCTCCATATCACTTAGTGACTGACTAACATGTCACAGTGCGTCAAGAACAGCGACGCCCTCAAGGATGCCAAGGAAGACGGCAAGCGCGTCTACACGAAGCAGCCGGATGGTCAGTTCCGCTGGGCGGCTTTCCAGCAGTGTAGCCCGAGCACAGTTGCGGGCTTCAAAGGACTACATCAGATGGTGCGAGCCGTCGGCGGCAATCCTGCGAACTTCGGTTCCAGGATTGAGATGGCCGAGTACCTCATCGCTCAGGAGGCACCTCTCAGTGTCGTCCAGGAGGAGGACGAGGGCGAGATCTTCTCGGGTACCTTCCCGGTCCACTTGGGCCAGCCAGCGTCCCAGAAGTTCTGGGGTGAGGGACAATTGGGCAACGGCACGCTGACCATGGCGGCGACGACCCAGGGTGCGATGGAGAAGTACCCGGGTAAATGAAGGAGCTTTGTGTTGTCTCCGGGTTGATGAGCATTTAGCGTCGGCGTTTGTGGTTGCTGGCCCTCGACAGAAGACATCTGGTCGATGGAGGAGCTGGCCGCTTGGTATCAGACAAACCAAGCAATATGAAGACATGTCCTCCCATTATCCTTCTTTGAAAACATGCCCATGAACCTTTTGTGATACAAGCCACTTCTGCTGTAGGTGTCTTTTTCGACTCTCCAGGTATCGACGTTGACGTGTCATGACATCTGCCCGCAGTGCGTCTGCATGCACGCATCCTATCTCATACGAATCCCTGAGAACACTGAAGTCGTCTGTACAGACGGCATCGTCAGGAGATAGCGCTCGGGCCTTAGATTTTGGCGTAGCAGTGTTGTTCGTCCAGTGCGTCTGCGTCTCGCTTTTCTCGACAACCGCACCACGATCTGCGCGCCACCCACAACACACGAAACGATCGTCGGTCTCACAACTCTTCTTCTCAGACCATAAGCGCAGCCGTTGAGCTCTTCGCAAGCAAGGCGTCATCGGCGCTGTGTACCGCACCCGTCGGCGCTCAGGCAGATCAGCACACCCCGCACTCGACTCCTGTACACGACAACTGCACCACCGCCTTTTCAACGGCCAGTAGAGATCTGCGACGCAGTCTCCCTCCTGCAGATTGATCGCCATCTGCACGTCGAGCCCGCCGACAACCCACGAGCCTCCGCCCAGTCCACGACGACCGCACCAGAGCCGCCGGCAGCACCCTGAACGCGCCCAGCACCTCGAGGCTCCCAGATCGAACGCGATGACGCCAGATACCGACGGAGAGGTCGCTTCCGCGTTCCAGTTCTTCTCCTCGAGACTGCCGGAGGAGATATTGACTCAGATCCTCAAGCACCACCGCGCCAACCACATCAAAGGTGTGCTTGTTCTGGATTACCACGAGTTCTCCGTTCCCAACAATCCTGACATGACAGCCTGCGAGGTACACTGGACTGAAGACGGAGGACACCAGACCTACACTGAGCCTGTGGTCAAACCCATTGGCATGGAGGTGGTGCGCAAGGTCCTGGGGATTCGCCGTGTCAACAAGCTTTTTGCACGTTGCATGCTCGAAGCGTTCTTCAAGAGTCCCGTGGTTTTTCATAACAGCTGGTCAATGTATTTTGGCACACCGCCCACGTGGTTTCTCCCATGTCAGGTCGAATCGATACTCGTTAAGCGCGGTAAATCGATCAAGGTCCAATACTGCGACGACTGTTGCGACGAAGCTCACAAACAATGGCGCAAGGATATTGGATGGGTACCAGCATACCGTGAAGCTAGCATCGAGTGTGCGACAACGGGTATAGACTTGGCTCTCAGCAAGGAGAAGCAAATGCCGACCATAAACGATGAAGATGCAGGGCTCTTGGCCAGGGACCCGGACATCACCTTCGTCCAAACACCCGATCGCCTTCTCATTCGGGGTATACAGTTTACTGGTGGTCATGAAGAGGAATGGTGGATTCTTCCCAAAGGATGGAGCGAGGTAACGATTCAAACGTTCTTCATCCTGGTCCAGCACCCAGGTTGGAGCCTAACCGATGTTCCTCCCGGCTCGTCCTTCATCCTGTCACTGAAATAGAGAGAGACCATGTCGGAGGAGGGGATACAGAGTACAGGTGACGCGATGGTCTTCAGGGTACATAGACTTTGTATTTGGCAAACCTGACGGCAATGCAACAGCTTGGAAGACACGTCGGATGCTGGACGGCGCATAGGCGTGTATCATAATATGCTGCATTTAGTCAGAAGAAGCACTCTTCCGCCAGTCTTATTTCCAGAATAATCGTGCATGTGTGATGTAGAAGAAACCAGGGGCCGGGTTGCAAGCCTCGCGCCTAGTATTCGACTGATAATCTGTGTCGCTGGCGTAGTCGCTGTACACAGGCTGCGTTGCCTTGATGATTTTGAAAACCCGTCGTCCTCATCTGAACTTTGCAATGACGTTCTAGCGTGGCGCTCTCAAGTTCGATGTTTGTCTGCGTCCGTCTCTCACGACGACTTCCGCCTCCGAACTCTTGATAGCTTCACCACGCGACAGCCACCCACAACCACGTCCTCCTTTTCAGACACTGCGCCGACAGCTCTCTGCACGTAGATTGTGACCAGCACAAGTGCGACAAATTCGAGACGTCCATAAGCACCTCCGCGCCATCGGCCACCTCCGCGGCCTTGTTTGACCATCGCGATCTTAGCCACAACTAAAGACAGCGACAGCCACGAAAACAACTCTCTTCATCGCCTCGCACACCTGCGCCGGGCTTGCGAAGACACTGGTAACGATAACGGCGCCGCCTGTAACTTCTGCGGCTACCCCTCCTCGCCGACACAGATCGAGGACGACCGCGACACTAGGCACACTCTCTTCGGGAAACACTCCTGACGGCTCTCAAAGCGCACCCAGGAACACATCGGATACCGAGAAGGCCACTCAGGAGAGCATCTGACGCCGGGAAGACAACAGCAAACCTCCTCGTGTCCCGCCGCCAGGTTTCAAAGCCCAGGTCATCGTGACACCTGGCTATCTCCATCGCGAAGACAGCCACCAGGCAACTCGTACAGCATACGATCGCTGTACAGCTGCAGCTCTGCTACTCTCCGGAACACCGAAGGGAGTGACTGCTTGTATCCCCACGCCAGACGCCCGACCATCAGGCGCCCGCCGAGAAGATAGCATACATCCGCCCGAGCCTCGCTACTGATCGTCGTCTGCGAACGAGACAGTGCATTAATCCGTAGCCAAATCGACTGCTACGCCGAGCATCAAACGCAGCTACCCACGGAGCCAAGCCCAAAGCAACGATGAGCAGCCTCCAAGATGACAGCACCCCTGCGGCTCTCGAGCACTCAAATCGACCCGCGTCGTACCGTAAGTCGTCTCCTGTCAAGATCGATATGTCGCTAACAGATTCAGCGTCTCACATCGACCCAAACGAGCCGGACACCGCGACCCCGCACAAACCTCCCCGCCCTACTACAACAGAAGAGAAACGAGTCTGGAGAGAGGGGCAGGATGAGATGACCTACAACGCATGGCTAGCGAACGAGGTAGAGCTGGACGACGCCTTTCGCATCTGGCGAGATACAGACGACGGCAGACGCGAGGTCGCACAAGTGTATCGCCGCTTCCCAGGTTTGCGGCTTACATCCATGGGCGCCGAGGACGTATCCTGGTTCGTTAGGGAGATGTCAACTCCAGGTACATACTTGCGCACGACGTGGGATGCTGCCCATAGCGATCCAAACACCAGACCAGGATTTTCAGTCCCGCAGCTCAAGCTATTGGTGCTTTTGGCGTCTCCGCGGCGGTCGCTGAATACGTGCAACCTTCCTGGCCAATGCCAGCAGCTCTTCCTCTTTTATGGATTCATGGAGTGGCGAAACATCTTCGGTCCTGAAGCTGGTGAGCGATCTGACGAATATGATCGTCTCTTCCCCCACTACGGATATCTCGAGGGTAACCTTCTTGACTGGCCCAAACCATGCAAACCAGAAGGCAGAGGGATTCCAATGGGATATGGAATCACTCTTCCGCCCGGTGAAGAGGGTTTGCTCACAACGGAGCGTTACCTGCTCAACAAGCCATTGTACTGGGATACACCGCCATACATCCCAAGCAGCCGCATATACCCAGGAACAACTGCAAAGGGCATAACCGATTTGCCGGCAGAAGTGCTCGACAAAATCTTTAAGCGAGTTGGTTTGTTCGGAGGCCCGATCATCATGGCACTGAAGGACCAGCCATCCGCACATGCTCCCAGTCGTTTCCACGCCACTTTCGCGCTTCCAACGCATCGTATCAATGTTGATAGATGTATGGTCAGTGACTGGGACACCCAACTTCATCCCTGCACGAAAATCCCCAAGATACTCGACCTTCGTAGAGTCTGCCGTAAATGGGGCGACATGATCCGAGACGTCTTCTTTCAGAACACATTCGTTTTTCGCTGCGAAGATCATGGAAATGGTTCAATGTCCCAGAATGTTTGGGCCATTTCCACATCGATGAGAGAGGACCGATACGACCTGGCTGACTTCAAGATTCGCTTCAATCCTATCTTAACAGATGGGGTGGCACAATCTTTCGAAGGCTCTGATGAGATTGGCTTTGATTACGAAGAAGAAGTAGTTCACCTCGGAGCCAGCGTCAATACAGGCAGGATGATCTTCGGTACCGACACTCCTTGCGACCGGACTTTTGTTAAGAGATGGCTCAACAGCCAACTGTTCTTGGATGACGCAGGCCACCTGGCTGTGCGAGCCTTCCGTCTGAAGTTCGATCCTGGTACCCATGCAAGGGAGGTTTCCAAGCAATGGCTCTCGGATATCTTCAAGCACTTGCACCGGAGGGGCATTGGAGGTAAAAGTGCTGGCAGCAACACCTTGCTGCTCGACTGGAACGCTCGCGACCTGTAAACAGTCCGTCCGGGCGACCGCATTACATATTGTTTGTTCCGTAGATGCGGCGCAAGTGCTCGAGTTCTCCCGTGGTGACGAGTATGACCGCTGAATCCGCCGGTGCTTGGAACCCAACTGTTACTTCTTTGCTTGCCTCCTCCGCGGGGATAAGACGGCGGACGATGCTCTGCCTGTTGTTGGTGGCAGTTGCGGTGCAATGGCGGTCGGAGTAGAAAGCGCGGCGTCGATCGCAATGGTGGTTGACACGAGGGTCGAACGTCGATGCGCGGTAAAGAGGAGGAAAGTGGACCGTACAAGTATCCTTCGATGCGGCCTGAGGATTGTGTTCGGTCAGCAAGATCGCCCCTTCATAGGGTGTGGGAGCGCATACCCAGAGAGTCGTCCGCTCCGTGGCCAGCTCTATAGTACTGAAGCAATCGAAGAGAACACCCTCGAGCGTAGTTGAAGAGGCAGATGGAGAGGCGATTTGCAAGAGTAGGGTGTTTGGTCCGAGTCTCGGAGAATTGGATCGCTCCGCTGGGACATCACGGCAACGCCCAGGCTCCCATTGAAGTGCAGCGCGTACTGCATGAACGCTGAAGCAGTCCAAGAAGAGCTATCTCGAACCTGCGGCCCAGTGGTGTGTTGAGATTGCGGGGGAGGTCGAGCGGAGGATAGTCGGCAATGAGGTCAAGTCCGCCTTATTTTCGAAGTCAAGCCCGCGAACAACGCGTCAACGATTCGAGTACCTGGAGAGCATTAAGAGGCGCGACAGCAAGCTCACTACAAGAGTACTGGAGATCCTGTTCTCGTTAGTAGCTGGCAAAGCCTTCTCCGCTCGAGCGTACAGAAGGCGGCCAGCCTATCCTGCCAATCGAGGTGTGCAGACAGGGCGGACATAGATGCGGTCCTCCAGCTTTAGATGGCCTGGCTCAGTCTGCTCTGTCAGTATAGAAGGATCCGGAACATTGAGTTGAGTTGAACAAGAACTGAGTTGCTGTGGGTCGTGACACTGTGAACTTCAGATCGAGCCACGGGCAAAGCTTCAGCCCTTTCCGCACTAACGATCGACCGCCACCGTGACCACCGGTTACGATTCAACCACCACAGGCAAACCACCTCGCCCTACATTCCAATGGCATCGACAACAAGCTCAAACGACGGAAATGAGGGAATTCCTAGCCGCTCGCGTGGGCTCGTCCGCAACGTTCTCCGTTTCTTCTCCTGCAAGTCGTCGTACAGGTTGCCAACGCACCCGTATATGCAGAACGGAGCTGGAAGAGGACAGCCTAGTCGTTCAGAACCACCACAACAAGCCGACTACTGCAGCCTCCCTCGGGAACTACGCCGTCACCCTGCGCGCGCATTGGAGCATCAGCGCGAGGCCGTGAAGGATACGGGGGCCGTATAGATGCTAGCCACTGTGTGCGCCAGTGGAGCCTGGAGTCCGCGGCGTGTCTTTTCGACGCCAGATACTAGAAGAGGATGACGCGGAGACCGTCAGGAGGTATCGAGAGCAAACATGGCGACAAACGAAACTAGTAGATGCAGACGACGGCGGAAGCATACGACACGAGAAAAACGCGTAGGAAGCACAGGAAGAAGTTCAAAAGGAGAAGTTGGGCGCGACATGTCGGAGGCTTCGTCATCCGATGCGAGATGAGATGAAGTTTTGAGGTTGGAGGCTATCTACCCCACCATAGCTCCCCATGACGCTAGACACACCCCTGCCTCCGATGCAGGCCGACCGAGCCTCCGATGACTCGCCCAAAAAATACAAAGACACGCTCAACAAGCTGCACTTCTGGCACAACACCACAATGACGACGGTCCCCGACTACTCACGGCCGACGACGCCCGACAACGGTCCCAATGGCCTTGTCTCGCCCCGCACACCCAAGAACGGCCTCGCCCTGACCGAGTACAGCGCGAACCCGAGTCCGCCCTCGGAATCCACGTCTTCGCGAACCAACGATGTCATACCCGACGCCTTCCTCCTGCCAAACGGCTACCCCGACTACCTCCGCCTCATCCTGACCTCGCGCGTCTACGAAGTCGTGCAGGAAACGCCCCTCACCCACGCAACCAATCTCAGCAACAGGCTAGAATGCAATGTTCTGCTCAAGCGCGAGGACCTCCAGCCCGTTTTCAGCTTCAAGCTGCGCGGCGCATACAACAAGATGGCACATTTGGACCCCAAGGACAGGTGGAGAGGCGTCGTCGCGTGCAGCGCCGGAAATCATGCCCAGGGTGTGGCCTACTCAGCGCGCAAGCTCAAGATTCCCGCAACCATCGTCATGCCCTCAGGAACGCCCGATATCAAGCACAAGAACGTCTCACGGCTAGGCGGCTCAGTCATCTTGCATGGAGCTGACTTCGACGCTGCAAAGGCCGAGGCTGCGCGATTGGAGAAGCTGCATGGGCTGGTGTCTATCCCGCCATTCGACGACCCGTATGTCATTGCAGGCCAGGGTACAGTCGGCATGGAATTGCTGCGACAGACGAACCTGCAGGACCTCAAGGCCGTCTTCTGCTGTGTGGGTGGCGGTGGTCTTATCGCCGGAACTGGTGTATACATCAAGCGGATAGCACCGCACGTCAAGATCATAGGAGTGGAGCAGTACGACGCAAACGCCATGGTCGAATCGCTCAAAGCCGGAAAGCGCGTCTTCTTAAAGGACGTCGGACTCTTTGCTGACGGAGCTGCGGTCAAGACAGTGGGAGAGGAGACATTCAGGATATGTCAAGAGGTCGTGGATGAGGTCGTCCAGGTCACTACCGACGAGACATGTGCAGCCATCAAAGACATGTTCGAAGATACACGCTCCATCGTGGAGCCCGCAGGCGCGCTCGCCCTTGCGGGTCTGAAGAAGTGGGTGAGCCGCAACCCGTCACCAGATCGCAACCGTGGTCTGGTCGCCATTGCCAGCGGCGCAAACATGAACTTCGACCGTCTCCGCTTCGTCGCCGAGCGCGCTGCCATCGGTGAGAACAAAGAAGCCATCCTCTCCGTCACCATTCCCGAACAACCTGGTTCATTTGCCAAGCTCGTTTCCGTCATCCACCCCATGGCAGTTACAGAGTTCAGCTACCGCTACTGTGGCCCTGAGTCAGCTCAGATCCTCGTTGGTGTCGAACTCAAGGCGGCGACAAGGGCCCGCGATCTACCCGACCTCATCGAACGTCTCGCCGCTGAAGGCATGACTGCCGATGACCTCTCTCAAGACGAGCTCGTAAAGTCACATATCCGCTACTTAGTTGGAGGGCGCAGCAACGCCGCAGATGAGCATATGTATATGTTCGAATTCCCCGAGCGAGGTGGCGCCCTGTACAAGTTCCTGAACACACTGCAACCGGGAATGAACATCAGTCTTTTCCACTACAGAAACTACGGCGGTGACGTCGCGAAGATCTTGGCAGGTATACAGTGCAAGGAGGAGGACAGCAGCAAATTAGCCAGTTTCTTGAAGGATATTGGATACCCGTACAAAGAGGTCACAGATAGCTCAAGCTACAAGATGTTCTTGCGGCAATGAGGTGGGCGGATGGATGTAGGCAAAAGGCGACGTGTGTAAGGATAAGTGGTGGAACGAAGATATGAAGGAACAAATGCAGATACCCCTTTCACTTTCTCACACTACTCGTTATCTCCCAAACCACGTGCAGACTGCCTATCCCAAGACCACGGTCACCCATCTACCAAGGCCAACCCCCCTCAGCCTTCAAGAACCCCCCACACTCCTCATCCCTCTCGCCTTCCAAGATAGCAACCATGGGCTTCGCGCCCTCACTGGTAGGCTTAGCCCCATGCTCCGGTTTGTTCTATCTCACATGTCAGCAAACGTCGTTTAGCCCCACGCGCAACAACAAGTGGAAGTGGGAGTAAGAAAACGTACCCTAGGCCCCAAGTTACTCTCCGTGAACCCCGGACAGAAGCAAAACACCTTCCACCCCTGGGGTCCATACTCATAGTCCTGACACGCAGTAAGCATATTCAGCGCCGCTTTGGAACTGCGGTATGGCAACTATCTCTCACATCAGCAAAAGTCTCACCAAATACCCAAACCAACCCCACCAACACCAATCTTACCAAAACAGCCGATTGAAAGAGCGGGGGCCATACGTTCTTCATAGCCTGATGCGGATTCGTCCTATCACTCCTGAGCCCAATACTCCCGGCTCCACTCGACACATTGAGGATCCGCGGCGTCTTGCCCATCTCCGCGCTTTTCGCGAGGAGAGGAGCGAACGTTTCTACAATGACGGCTGGGCCCGTGGCGTTGGTTAGGAACGCGGATGTCATGCGCGTGGCGAGAGAGGCGGAGGCGGGTGCTTCGCCGGTTATCGCGGCGTTGTTTACGAGGGCGTCGATGCTGGTGGAGAGGTCAGTGAGTGGATGTGTTGTTGAGATGGAGATGGACAAGGAATAGGAGGGTGTAAACGTACCGACCATACTTCCCCTCCACCACATCCTTCGCTTTCTGGATACTATGCTCGTCGCTCACATCAATCTGCAACAACTCCACTTTTCCAGGCAATCCTTTCTCCTGGATTTGCAGAACGGCAGCTTCACCCTTTTCGGCGGAGCGACTGCCGAGGAGGACGAGGTATTTGGCGTTTTCGAGGAGTTGGGTGGCGAGGGAGAAACCGATGCCGCCGTTTGCTGGGATAGTGTGTTAGTAAAGGTTTGAAAGAGGGATATGGGGAGGGGCGGATAGGGGGGGAGAGGTGGGAGGAGCGTATGGAGTAGCGAGTAGGGAGTAGGGAAACGCTGCGTACCGCCGGTGATGAGAACGATGGTTTGATCGGTGGAAGACATGTTGATGTTTCTTCGTTCCGTTAAAGAAATCTCAAGAGGAACTGATATTTTTGTTCGTGCTGAAGTGAGCTTGGCATTGTCTTGTTGGCGGCTGTGGCCTTCTCTTTATATTTACTATCCTAGGCCTCTAAGTCCTGCCTTCCGTCTTCGCGCCGAACCTTCAACTCCACCACCACGGGTAGCAGTGTGCTTAGGCTCA